TATGGAGAGGCTAACTTTGTATAGCTATAATGACAGGTTGGTAGAGAAAAAGACCAATCAACATATACAAAACTCTATCCTTATCGATTTCGTCGGAAGCAATTTGAAAAATGTTGAGGATTATACAAGAGCTCTTAAAATAGTGCTCGATCAAGAAGTCATGAAAAAGTATCTTGAAAACTGTGTAATTCCTATCATTGTGGACTGGCCCGGCCAATTCTTCATACACAAAGCTATCACACACTGGATTCTTCTTAACAATAAAATAATTTTGTTATTCGTTATATCATTTTTGCCTATGATAGGTCCTCTTCATGTATCCTTAAATAGCCGTGAATTTGTTTTTATGAAGAATTCATTTCTTTTTAGCGATATTTACAAGAGCATATTCAGAAAAAAAAAGAATCTCGGTAAGAAACCATGGCCATGGCGAATCGATTTAATTCTCTACATAATGTGCATGGCGTGGTTCGATATAGTTGATATCGTTTACTCCAAATTTGGTTGTACTTGTAAAAATATCAAATTTTTATATTTAACTGATCTTTTAAGCAATTTAATTCTCTTAGTTCTCGATATTTATGCCATGCACTACTGAGAAGGCAACTGGACAGCTTATGAAGAGTCATGCATGTGTTGCTGGACCAATCTTTTCCTCCGATTTGATCGAAAAAACTATAAGTATGCTCCTTTAATGTTCTTCTCAGATATCTTTTATTAGATGAAAATTAATCACCCGATGATCAATATGGTTACTACCCATCTGGCTTCTTTAAGTGATTTTCCTGTAGAAGTCGCTCACAGCATTATTTGGCGACATACCCTAAGTTTTTCGCAACAGATTAGTTGCAAAAGGAGATATGCTTTATTTTTCAGCATCGAGAGGATAATGATTTTCGACGGCATTTTGTAAATTCTGTGAAATATCCGTATACACCAAAGCAATTGCATATACTTTCTCGAAAGTGTGCTACATTGCTTTTAGATATCTTTGGGAAAATATATCAAGCTCACCATTTGTATCCTTTGATTATTGGTTCGTCCGATGGTATTAACACTTATAAGTTGCATTCTTTAGGTTATGAAGTAACAGATCACCACCTTCCAAGAGGCTTCGTTACTTCCAGAAAACTGTTCACAACTATTTTATGTGATTATATATATTGTATTTGTACTAACTATACTAACTTCTTTAATGACAGTAACGTTCTTTCATGTGGGCATGGCTACCATAGCCATTGCTTACAAAGATGTGGATTTAAATGCTTGATTTGTTTAGAATATCTTCAAGACGAAATTAAAAAACATTGAAGCAACCAAGGAAAGTATAATGAATAAGTTGGGCGAAAATGAATTCATCGATGAAAAAAGTGAAGACACGGTTGAAGATGATTCAAATATTGATACAGTGACGGATGATGTAGCAACAACAGCAAATTTATTTGAAAATGCAAAACAATTATTTCTTCAATTGTAATTTTTTTATTAAAATTTTTTTAAATAAATTCATTAAGTAATTATCGCGTTATTATTGCAACATATTAAAATTTTAATTATATCATAATTTCATACGTAGTAATTTAATATAAAAATTATACTATTAAAGTCGCTAATTTGATTGGCTAAATCAATATGCACGATCGGGATCATCATTTCCTTATTTGGAACGGTCTCCCCTGTTCTAATAGATGTTATACAGATGACTCTTATGCGAACGATGGTAGAGCTTCGCCGAACATAGAAAGGGGAGTTCACCCTGTCAAAACCGTTAACCTCCCATAACTGATAAAAAATTGGTTCGCCATGCTCGTTCCATAATATAAATCTGATAACTTACCATTTCTGATAACTGAGTTCAAAAGAATATGTCTATTAGTTGTTATACTGTATAATCTGATAAATTCGATATTTTGATCTAGCCAATCAAATTAATTCTATGTAGTAAGATTGAGCCAATCATGTTGAACCGCAATTATGTGACTAGTATGTTCATTAAAACGTATTAGTTTTTTTAAATCTGATGACCATCCACCCACCATGCATACCGGTTTCGACAGGGTAGAGCAGTGTATAAAATTTAAATTACCAAATATGTGTACAAAAGTGTGCACAATGTGCACAAGTTAAAATTTTATATTTAACTTAAAAACATGTGCACATGAGCATATTGTGCACATTGATTTTACACACTGGGGTAGAGTGTACCGAATTCAGAAAAAAATCCGCAGGAGCAGCTGGTTCGGTATAAAGAGAATTGATCATACCGATACTAAGCCTTTTCCTTTTTAGATTGTATCACAAATAATTATTTCGCGCTTGTGATTTGTTTTTATAATCCACAAATTAAAAAAGGACACACATGCTTTTTCCAATAAACAAATTCTTTTTCGCAAACGCTGTAAATAGTATATAGTACCCTATCGCTCTACAGTGCAACAACTACCTTTATACATTAAAGAAACAAAAATGAGACAGATTTCAGACTCGAAAATCTTTGAAGCAGCTCTTCTTGATTCTTTTAAAAAAGAGGGATATATATCCTTCCCACCTACACCACCACCATCACCGCCATCACCATCATCGCTATCACCATCGCCATCACCATCACCATCATCTCAAACCTTTGTAGAAGAAGCAAAAAGATTCGTTGTCAACAATAAAAATATTTTAGCTGTCTCTGCATTAACTATTGGTGGAGTTGTACTTGGACCGATAGTGTTTGTTGGTTTGGTACAGGCGATCGGATTCGGTTCGGGTGGTATCGCAGCCGGATCATTTGCTGCATGGATGATGTCATTGCAAGGTGGTGCCACTGCTGCAGGTAGCCTCGTAGCTATTCTGCAATCAATTGGTGCGGCTGGATTAAGCTTAGGTGCAACTATCGCCACAGGCGCTGGGGGTGGCACACTTATAGGCTTTTTGTCAACATTGATAATGAAAACATTGGAGTCAGATCCCGAGGGACGTGCTGAATTAAATTCTTTCGTTAGGATCGACGGTGATGATGACAATGGTAGTGATGATGACAAAGGCAGTGATGATGACAAAGGCAGTGATGATGGCAAAGGTAGTAATGATAAAAAAGGTAGTGATAACAACAAAAGTGATGAAAAACTTCTATCTATGGTGGTTTTTGAAATATGTGACAAGCTCCTTACTAATAAGAAAGCATTCCACAAGTTTCTCGAAATATTTACTTCAATCCAGAAAACAGTTAATACAAAACAGTTCAAATTCCTTATAGATGAAAAATGTGCTACGGATAACGAAGATGTTTATAAAAGTCTTGAAGTTTTGTATAATCACTTGGTAAAAGACTATGGAGAAGGGTACGTTAAAAAAGTGCAGTTAAATACTATTATGTTGTGTTTAGGGGTGGATCAGTCCGAATCAGTCCTATCCAGTCCGTATCAGTCTTTGAAAAGTTCAGTCCTTAGTGTTTTTTGGTCTAAATCCTATAGCAGGAATACTTAAATCATATGACATCAATAATTGAATAAGTGATTATGTAACGTTTTTTAACGTAATGTCAACGCTAAATCAATTTAATTAGTAATTTTTAAATATGTATTTATGAAGAACAGCTGGACTGGTCTCAAAAACCATTTCTAGTTGGATTATTAATAATTTTTTTAACATTAAAGCTATGTTTGCTTTTTTGTCTTTAGCAAATTCATTAGCTTATTATTATTATTATTATTATTCATACTTTATTTCGTTTATTACCATGTTATTCATACTATACAGCTATATATTTACATATAGTGAAATTTGATTTGTAATTTCATTCAATTAAAACACGAATCCTAGATTAAATAAATATTAAATACATATACGGTCAAAGAACCGAATGATACATAATAATGATCAAATTCAAAAAAATTCAATGGTTTGCTTGCGCTACAGATTTTTTTCCCTTAGTGAGATTTCAGAACATTTCCAGTGAAAATGGTACTATTAGTTTTTACTTACGGTAATTTTCAGTGATTTCCATTGACAAAACTGGCAGTTTATATTCATGCAATTTCTTAATTGTCTCAATTATCTTTTGATAGAATAGGGTTGGGATAAGGTTATTTAGTGGTAACGTAATTACTGCCAAAATAATTCAAGTTTTTCTGATGGTAGAATGCTACGCGTCAATAACGATAACTTATCAGACATAAATTAAATGTACCATTCTGTGCTCTTTCGGGCCCAGAGATGATATATTAAAACTTAAAGCCAGTTTGGTTCAATATTGCTCCTTTATGTCGAAATAACATCTCGATGTAGCGTGGTTGATAAATTAACGCGTTATTTCGCGACTATAAGGTAGCACAGCTATATTAAGTCTTAAATAA